CGCGGCCCGTGGGGGCGGGGCAGCCAAGGCGGGGGGTCGCCGGCCAAACTGCCCGCCGAGGGGGCGCCCGAGGCCTCGCCGCGACACGCAGGGCCTCCGAGACGGCGCCTGGGGTCCCGCCGCGGCGGGTGACTGCGGCGGGAGGCGCGGGCGCCGAATGAGGGGTCGCGGTTGCTGCGGTCGCCGGTCCCCCGGCTGCGCGGCGGGGGCGGGCCGACGACGGCCGCCGCGCCTGGGCCTCACAAAGAGGAAACAGGCCAGCTCGTCCGCCCGCCGCCCCGGCGCCGGGGCCCGCCCACAGGGGCCGGGGGCGCCGCGCTGGGACCCCGGGGGAGCGCGGCGAGGAAGAGGCACTTCCTTCCTGGGCCCCCCACCCCAGGCCGATCCCCGAGTGCTTCGAAGCCGCCGACCCAGAGGGCTCCTCAGTCCCCAGCGGGTTCCGAGCGCAGCCCCCGCCCGCTGCACTCACCCCGAACGGCTGTGAGATCCGCGGCCGCCAGCGGCTCTTCGCTCCTCAGCTAGGATGAAGCCCCTTGGTCACCCGAGTCTCCAGGTTGAGTCAGGCCCCGGCCTTGGCCCCGCCTCTCCCTGGTAGGGCCTCAGCGTCAATCATCGAGCGTAGCTCCGCCCCTCGAACAGTCGGCTCTCCCGGTTGGCTGCGAACGCCCTTCATTTCTAGGCCCCGCCCCCCTCCCTGGCGCCCTCCCCCTTCAGCTGGGCCCCGCCCCTCTCCTGGCTCACCCTCCCCCACTCCCGTTCCCTTTCGCGTCGCGGCCCACCCCTTCCAGAAGCCGCAGACCCAGGGTGAGCTCCCGGCCGCTCGCCCCGCCCCTGACCCAGCACCTCGGGCTCGTACAGCCAATGAAAGAGGCTAACTCTCCTCCCTCTCCCAAGACGGCCAATGTGGGGAGGCTTAGGATACACCCCCCCCACCCAGCTGAGAGCATACAACACAGCGTCCACGTGAGTCTGCTTCTTAAAGGAGCCGGCTGAGCCTTTCTAATTAAGGCTGCTGTGAGACATCGCGCGTCATCAGCGTCACCAGGTGGTGGCTAAGGCCTAGCTTTCTGAGGCCTAGTGATGACAAATGAAAACAGGCTGTTTTTCTAGGCAAAGCAGGTGCCTAGATAGTTAAAATGCACCATGTAATGAATTTCTCTGAGTTTGCTTACACTTGCCACTCCTTATAGAGGGCCACCTTTTATTTACAAACCTCAAACCCTTTGAGTCTGGGCATAGAGGAACTCCTGAAGAAAGGATTTTTCAAGTATGCCTGACTTATTTACAACTCCCTAAGTCTTTTCTTTTTTAAGACTGGCAACTGAGCTAACATCTGTTGCCAATCTTCTTTTCTTCTTCTTCTCTCCAAAGCCCCCCAGTACGCAGTTGTATATTCTGGTTGTACGTCCTTCTGGTTGTGCTATGTGGGATGCCGCCTCAGCATGGCCTGATGAGCAGTGCCATGTCCGTGCTCGAACTGCGGAAACCCTGGGCCCCCAAAGCAGAGCGGAGGAACTTAATCACTCCAGCAGGGGGCCAGCCCCCCTGAGTTTTCTTTTGGTAGTGGAAGTGGTTATCAAAAAGATGAGAAAATTTAGAGTCTTCTACGTGCAGGTTTTCTGCCTTAGAGAGTCTGAGATTTGTTTGTTGAAAAGGGTAGCTGTTCCCTTAACCTTAATCAATGCTTAAGATGGAAGGTTTTGTGTTTCCTTCCATTGGAATTTCCCAGGTAATTACATTGATGATCTTTGGCCAACTTTCAAGATAAAGCATCTATATTTGATGATGCCTATTTCTCAGGTAAAAAAAATAAAGACTAACATTTTAGGTTATCTTCAAGGTGTTTAAAGCATCTTTAGTGGGGTAGAGGTTTTGAAGCAAATCCCAGCCTTTGACTCCTCGTCAACCCCAAATTCACCAGCATTTTCACTCAATTTCGATAAAAACCTGAATATCAAATGCAAAAGGACTGACGATCTTTTGATAAGTGAGTTTTGCAAGATATAAGGAAGTTTTGAACATATTTTAGTTTTTTCCTCTTTATTATTCCTTTGTTTCTACTTAGCTCTAATTACAGAAGTAACACTTGTTCATTGTAGGATGGTCACAGAGCCTCATTTCGTAACAGAGACCTCTGTCCTCTTCTTACAGCTTCATGTGTATCCTTCTCTGCTTCCCGAAACAAATGTGCATTAAAGCATGTTGTACTTCTTATTCTTCAGCTTGCTTTTTTCACTCAATATGTTATGGCCATACTTCCATGTTAAATGTGCCTTTTATCTACAAATTTACCTTTGTCTCCACAGTTTTTCGTAGTATGACCTCATCTTTTATTAAATCTTATTTTTTCTACTAATAGACATGTAGGTTGCCTTCAATCTTTTGCTATTAAAAATATTACTGTAATGAACACCTGTGTTCGTTGATAAAATATTTGTCAAGTATTTCTGAATATAATCCTTTGAAAAGGGCGTGCAATGCCCAAACCCACAGGAATGAGTTTTTCTCAAAGTGAGCGCTTTAAGTACCAGGTGAAACAATGGGGAAGATATTTATTAACTTAACAAATACATATAAAATTCTTACTGTTCTAAGTGATTTAAAATTATTAACTCACTTAATTTTCATAACACCCCTGTGAGGTAGATACTGTTATTCCCATTTTACAGATGAATATACTGAGGCACAGTGATTAACTAACTTGTCCAAGGTCACTCAGTCGAGTTCTTGAATAAAATATTTGTAAACTTGGAAGACAATGATAAGAATCGTAGTTTTAAAGAATTAATCTAGATGATGGTGATGTGCAGAGTTAGATCCAAATATGAGGTAAGGAGGGCAGATAGGAATGTAACTGAAGGGGCAGGTTTAACTTTAACAAGAATGGCTGTGCTGGACTGATTGTTTACAGGTGGATAAGAAGAGGAAATTTTCAAAGATAAGCCAGAGATTTTATCCTACGTGACTGGTAGGGTGATGATTTCTCTTTGCTAGATATAGGGTGGTTGGGAAGGTTGATTTAGGGTGAAAGATGATGGGTCTGAGATGACAGTGGCATGACCATTAGAAATAAAGCATATATGATTGAAGATAATATAACAAAAATGGAAAAGAAATGAAAAAGAAAGGGTGAGAGATTTGAAAAATACCTTGTTGGGCTTTTGGTTAGAGTTGTGTTAAACCTATTAATTTAATTTGGAATAAATTGACACTTCATAATACTGAGACTTTCCCACCGAGAACATGGTATGTTTCTCCATTTATTCAAGGGCTCTTTTATGTCTTTCAGTAAAGTTTTATGGTATAGCCGCCTTCCTTTAGGTTGTTTATCTATCTCTTAGGATTTATATTTAGGTATTGCGTATTTTCTGGGGGTGTTATGGGCTGAATTGTCCCCTGTCCCTCGCTGCCCCCCCCCAAGCCAATTCATATGTTGAAGTCCTAACCCCCAGTACCTCAAAATGTGACTGTATTTGGAGATAGGGCTGTTAAAGAGATGATTATGTTAAAATGAGGTCATCGGGGTGGGCCCTGAAACAATCTGACTGGTGTCCTCATAAAAAGAAGATGTTAAGACATACAAAGAGACACCAGGGATGTGTTCACACAGACAAAAGACCATGTGAGGGCACAGAGAGAAGATGGCCATCTGCATGCCAAGGAGTGAGGCCTCAGTAGAAACCAAACCTGCTGACTCTTGATCTTGGACTTCCAGCCTCTAGAACCGTGAGAAATACATTTCTGTTGTTTAAGCCACACAATCTGTGGTATTTTGTTGTGGCAGCCCTTGCACACTAACACGTGGGGTTACTGTGAAGGGCAAATTTTCTTATTATACGTTATACCTTAATTGAGTACTTGTTATTTTGTAGGAAAGATAATCATTTTGTAGTTAACTTTTACAGAAGAATTTTCTGTCGGCAAATGATCATAATGTTGCCTACTTCTTTCCAGTCATTTGCCTTTTATTTCTGTTTAAATATCCTTGCACGTGTATCTTTGAGTACATGTGAATATTTCTGTCAAACAAATTCCTAGAAGTTTTGCTAGTTTGTAAAATTTCTTTTTTAAAAAGTAAATAATGGGTATGAAATTTTATCAATACCTTTTTAGCATCTACTGAGATAAACATTACCTCCCCATTCTATTTCTTTATATGCTGTATGACATAACCCATTCAACATTAAACCAGCTTTGCATTTTTGGCATAAAAACTCCTTTATCATTTGACATGTGCTAACTCTGACATTATTTGAGTGCATAAAATCAGAAACATGAGTGTACCAACATATATCAACATAGCCTGGTGCTTTATTCTGATTGTTGACTATGCTTTCTGGCTGTAACTATCTGATATACCCCAAATAGGTGATTCAGTCTAGTAACTACAAACCCTGGGTCACACTTTCAGAATGCCCTTCTGTTGCTGCTTCCATGGGCCTCACCTTTGCTCTGACTTTCCTTCTCTTGCTTTGGAGGACTCACACTGGAGCTGCTCCTTTAGAGGTAAGACCACCTTTCAAGTGAGTGCTTCATGTGCAATCAGCTATAAGCGCCCTGTTGTGTCCTCACGCTTCCCACGGCCTACTAAACCTCCTTGCTCCCAAGCCCTGAAACACTCGGGCCTCCACCCGTCTATCTCACTCTCTGCAGACAGGCCTGCCTCATAACTTAGAGTGAGATTAAGACTGCTGGAAATGAGCTATCTCAAATTTCCTCTATCTCAATGTTTCTTCCTATATCACCTATTGTTACTTTCTCCAGTGTTGTATGAAAGACAGTCTTTCTTTTTTTGCAAAACCTGATGGACACCTATACCTGGAGAACACTCTGGATCTTGAAACTCAGTCAGTCCTTAACAGAATCCATATCTTCTCTCAATAGCAGAGACAAACAACAAACATTTCCCTAGACCTAGGATTGTCACTCCCTTCTCATGTCTGTTAATGGACCACAATCCCCCCAACTCCTTGAGTTGCTACAAGTGTTTATCGTCTTTGTCATGTTTGGGCCCTACATACAAGTGATCTGCCCTCACACATCCAACACTCTGGTTTAGACCCATATAATCTCTTATAATAACTTATCTCTCTTTTCCCTTGCTTTATATTAACATTGCATTCATTTTTTTCCCTCCGTCCTGTTGCCTCGAATGTGGATGCTGCCTGGACCACAAGGACCAGGACTCCATTCTGGGGATGGTGGAGCAGTGAGTTGGAAGGAAGCTGGATCCTGAAGGCTGCATAGAGTAGAGCTGCCATACTAGCCTGAGGTATTTTTACTTTAACCTGAGCTTATGAAAACTCTGGGTAATCTAAACAGAATAGCTCCTTTAGGGAGAAACAGATATATGCAGTCATAATCACAAATTAGTAGTTAACAGAAAAATATTAATAGCTTATTCTGAAATGCCCTGCCACTTTACTAAAAGCTATCTCAAAGGTCACTGATCATAAAATTCAGCCAGATCTTTTTCGTTTTTGAATTCATCAACCACACATTCATTCTTCAAACTTTTTATTCTCTTGGCTTTGGCAGTATAGCAGTCTCCTGTGGTAGACAGAATAATGCCCCTCCCCACCCCCCGCCCAGGGCAAGATGTCTATGTCCTAATCTCCAGAACCTGTGAATATGTTATCTTACATGGCAAAGGGGACGTTGCAGGTGGGATTAAATTAAGGAGTTTAAAATGGGGAGATTATCTGGGGTGGGCCCAATGTAATGACAAGGGTCTTTATAAAAGGGAGGTAGGATGACCAACAAGCATATGAAAAGATGCTCAACGTGAAATCAATGTCTAGAAGAGATATTTGTACACCCAAGTTCAGAGGAACATTATTCACAATAGCCAAACAGTAGACGTATTCTGAGTCTTCATCAACAGTTGAATGAATACGCAAAATGTGGTATATGCATTCAATCGAATATTATTCAGCCTTAAAAGGAAAGAAATTCTGATACATGCTACAACATGGATAAACCTTCAAGATATTATGCTAAGTGAAATAAACCAGACAGAAAAGGACAAATATTTTATGATTCCACTTATATGAGGTATCTAGAGTAGTCAAATTCATACAAACAAAAAATAAAATTGTGGTTGCCAGGGGCAAAGGGGAAGGGGAAGTGAGGAGCTGTTGGGTAATGGGTATGAAGTTTCAGTTTTGAAGGATGAAAAAGTTCTGGGAATTGGTTGTGCAACAATGTGCACATACTTAGTAATACTGAGCTGTACCCTCCAAAATGGTTAAGATGATAAATTTTATGTTATGTGTATCTTGTTATAATTTAAAAACTAAGCTGGGTTTTCTAACAAAAAAACAAACAAGAAAAGGGAAGTAGGAGAGTCAGAATCAGGGAAGGAAGTGTAAGGATGAAAGCAGAGATTGGAGTGATGCACGGCCACAAGCTAGGAATGCAGGCAGCCTCTGGAAGCTGGAAAAGGCAAGGAAACAGATTCTTCCCTGGAGCCTCCTGAAGGAACACAACTCTACAGACACCTCAGCTTTAGCCTTGTAAGACTCACTTTGCACTTGTGACCACCAGAACTGTAAGATAATACATTTATGTTATTTTAAGCCACTAAATTTGAGGTAATTTGTTACAGCAGCAAAAGGAAACTAATATATCCCTGATTTTCCGAAAGTCATATTTTATATTGTTTTCTTATTAATTACTTTGTGCTATTTATAATTAGTTTTAATTCTGTTACCACACATAACTGTACTCTTCCTAGTGTATATGATTTCCATAAGTCTGACTTAGCAAACACTCAAGTGGTCGGTGACAAATAGAAATGGCAAGCAATAGGATATATTGGAATGCATGAGGAAGCCATTTGGTGTAAACCTAATTCGGCCTGACTGCTTTTTCCAAAAGGGCCTGATGTGGCCATTGAGCACACATTGTATATCTGCTTTAAACATTTCCTATGGCAAAAACAAATAGCCTTAAGATAAAGGTGCAGCTTCCCCCCACATTGGCATTTCCTTAAGGATAAGCATCTTTCCTTAGGCTGGGAACTGATTGCTGTGCTCACCTTTGACCACCCAGCTCACAGACCTGCCACCTGCTGTGTTCACTGAGATAGCTATCTACCTGCTGCGTCCATCAATCACTGTGCCGACAGAGCAGTCTCGTGACTATTGTAAAAGGGACATTTCAATCATATGTGAAACATCCTGTTTGGGGGTATATAACCACTCTGTGCACCCCACTTCTTCAGTGCCCTTTCTTCCTTCGGGAAGAAAGGCCCCAGGCCATGGTCCTCAGATTTTAGCTCGGAATAAACTCATCCCAAATTTTCATTTATAGATTGGTTATGGGTTATTTTCGTCGATGTCAGGGAACAGAACCTCGGCCAACAAACCCCTGGGCCTTACTTGCATCAGGTTGCACCAACCAAGAGGATATGGTAATATCCTCCCTAAGTTTACTTAAAACCAACAACAAAAATGTTAGTAAAATTTCTACAGACTTTCCCCACAATAAAAACTTTTACATATCAAACTCTGAGTCTTGGGGTAAGGATAGATAAAGGTCCCAAGTCAGGCGGGGCAATTTGGAGAGCAGAGTAAATAGTGGTGAGGAACAGGGGCTTCACACTTGTTTAGTCTGAGCTGACCCCCAGCACTGCCGCTTCCTAGCTGTCTAACCATGGATAAGAATGCCTGATAGCTTAGAGCCCAGAGACCTTTGCTACTGACTTTTTGTGTGCAGGTAGGTTTTGAAAGGAGTTGAATGGCTCATTTTTCACCTCCATGATATAAATCATGTCAGACATTGGCAGTATTTCAAGTACTCTTGCGATTCAGGGTTGAACCACACAAGAGAGCTATCAGGCATTTGCAGTCTACGAGGTGACCTTAACATTCTGTAATGTGGGTGGTACAGGGAAAACAGCAAAACCTGCTCACTCAAGACTCAGCTTCATAATCAAGAGTCATGGAAATAATAACAAGAACCAACGCAACAGCAACTTTTATCAAGCGCTTAATAGGTGCCAGGGACAACAGCTCAGCCCTTGACAGCAGTTGCATGATTTAATTCTCACAATAACAGTAAGACTATCACTATTTTGAGTAATTAAATTGAAGTTCTTATCCGTGGTTAGACAGCTAGTGACAAATTTTATTGCCACAAGCATTTTTAAGTCTACTTTGCTCTGAACTGTTATTGAGGATTGATACAAAAAAATGATCATGTGAAGAATTTGCACCTTCTGCAAAAATATCAGTATCAGTCAACACTGGTAGGTTGTGAGTAGCAGAAATCCAGCCTGAAGTAACTAAAGCATAAGAAGGAAATTTATTGGTCCACATTACTAAAGAACAGGAAGGGTGGTTTGATTTGGCCTTAGGAAATGTAGATGCAGTCAAGAATAGCTGATTCTGTCTCCATTTCTGTTTCTCTTTGCAAGTTGACTCCTTACACTTTCCTGCCATGGCCTCGAACAAGCTCTGTGCTTACATCATAATGGCTACCTGACCCGAAAGGAAAGTCATTTCCCTGCAATCTCCAGTTAGGAAAGTCCCAGAGAAGGATTCTGATTGGCCTGGCTGGATCAGGGACCAGTCACCATGGTCAGATGTGTAGGGTCTTGTGATTGGCAGCCCTGGTACCTCCCCAGTACCGTAGGTTGGAGTTGGCGGAATGGCTATCTTAGTCAATATGGGCTACTATAGCAAGCCACATAGACTTGGTGGCTTATAAACAACAGCAATTTGTTTCTCACAGTTCTTGAGGCTGGAAGTCCAAGATGAGGGTGCCAGCAGGGTTCGTTTCTGGTGACAGTCCTCTTCCAGGTTGTAGACTGCTGACATCTTGTATCCTCACATGAGAGCGAGCTAGCTCTTTGGCCTATTCTTTCAAGGGCACTACTCCCATTAATAAGGGCTCTATCCTCATGGCCTAATTACCTCCCAAAGGCACTACATTCAAATATCGTAGTATTGGGGATAAGGGCTTCAAGATATGAATTTTGGTGGGGAGACACAAGCATTCAGTCCATAACAATGGCATTCCCCAAAAGAAGGGTGGTTCTGGGCAGACAGAGCCATATATTTTTATTGCTCAAGAGGTTGCCAGGATGCATTCCAGCATCTGTTTTAAAAGTTCCTTGGTAACCAATTAGCCCTTAAGCAAAGGCTCAGAGATAGGAAGTGTCAGTTTGCTTGGGGAAGACAGGAAGACTGAGGGACTCTTTAAAAGAATAGCATCTATAATAATGGGTAGTGGCCATAGACAAGGTTGGAAGCCCTGGCTGATAATAGATCGTAGACAGACCATAAGGGCCAGTCTAAGAAATTTGACTGGACCAATACATTTCTTTTAAAGTTTAATTACAGGTAAGTTTGTTTTTAATCCCAAAGACTTTAAGGTCTTAAGATCCTCAATTTCAAGTTTTTCAAAACCTATGTTTTTAGGAGCAGAAGCCTCACTACTGGAAAGGGAATACTATATGCAAATTTTTATTGAATATCAATTGAGTCTGTTAAACATATATAGGTGACAGGACTGATGAATTTAGGAGTTTTATCAAGTTACTGTATTAGTCATGGTTCTCCAAAGACACATAACCAATAGAATATATATATATGTAAATCTCTAGAAAGAGATTTACTATAAGGTATTGGCTCTTGCAACTATAGAGACTGAGACTTCCCACATTTGCTGTCTGCGAGCTTGAGACCCAGGAAAGCTAGCGATGTAGTTCAGAGGCCTGGAGGCAGAGCGCTGACGGTATAAATTGCAGTGTGAATCTGAAGGCCTGAGAACCAGGAGTGCAGAGAGCAGGAGAAGATCCATGTCCCAGCTCAAACAGTCAGGCAGAGAGAGGTTGAATCCAACCTTCCTCCGCCTCATTGTTTTGTTCAGGCCCTCAATAAATTGGATTCAGGGAGTGCAATCTGCTTTACTCAGTCTACTGATTCAAATGCTAATCTCTTCCGGAAACACCCTCACAGACCTACCCAGAAATAAAGTTTAACCAGATATCTGGTCATCCCATGATTCAGCCAAATTGACACATAAAATTAACTATCACAATACCTTTACATCCTTACTATAATTCTGAATTTTAACTCGTGCCTGCTGAGCAAACTTTGATCTGAAAAGATTTCGTCTTATAGAGTTCACAGAAAGAACTTCATTTTGAAAAAGATTGTAATTATTTCAGTAATCTTGGAGGTGACTCATGGCTAGCACATTTTTGACCTCTGCAGATGTGTTCTCTGGCTCCAAAATGGACTTTGGAGAATGAACAAACTGATCACTTCTTGGGGGGAAAAAAGAGACAGAGAGAGAGACAGGATTTCAAAGATACAAAGATAATGACCACATAGTAGATAGAAACATAGATCAATCCTTGTTTATCAAATTATAAATAGCCTTCTATTTCCCCAGTGTCGTGGCCATTGTGTTCCATTGTGTTCCTGGGAAACCTCACGTCATTTAACATGTACCAGGCAAGTAGGGTTAACTGGACCCACTTTAACAGCTCTGTTTCACTCGTGCAGCTTAACTCAGTAAGAATTCTGCAGAAAGACTTCAAGCAGAGCTGAGCTTTGTCTTTCGTGGATGTGCCTTCTGAATTTCAAGATGAACACACCATGAATAATAACCAGTGCCTTTTGGGGATGGTACATGGCAGTACAATACACTGGAAGCCTTTTTTAAAAAAAATTTTTATCGGAGCTGCACTATGTCATTGTGTTTATTTCCTAGAAATTATTGAGAAAGTTTAGGACTTAATTTTTTTAATCCAGTTTTTTTTTTTCATAGTTCAATACTTTAATGTGGTGAAATACATATTTTTTTTCTTTTCCAGTTTTTTTTTTGTTGAGTTATTGATAGGTTACAATCTTGTGAAATTTCAATTGTACATTAATGTTTGTCAGTCATGTTGTAATTTTTAAATCCAGTTTTTGAGTGACGTATGTAGAATGTAGAGTAGACCATTTGTAGTATTCTGTGTGACGTGTGAACAAGTTGAAAAGGCTGACAAATTTAATAAAGGGTGAGGAACTCAGGTAAAGGGAAGGAAATGGTAAAAGAGAGATTTTTATAATTTAAAAATTTTGGTTTTTTAAACCAAAAATTGTATCAAGAGGTATTTAGTTACCCTGTGCTTCACGAAGTTTTGCTTTATGTGCTCCCAAATAAATCACAACAATAATAACAATGATAGTTAGTACTTATATAGTATTTATTATGTGCTACTGAGTATTCTAAGTATTTATCCAGATTTTAATTTATGTAATCCTCACAACAACTCTATGGGATGGATACCATTATTATCCCCATTTTATAAAAAGATAGCAATACTGAGGCATGGAAAGGTTAAGCAGTTGGCCCATGGCCCACAGTAAACAGTAGTGCTTACTCTAGCCCTCACGCAGCCTGGCTCCAGAACCTGTGCTCTTAACTGCTATGCCACACTACCTGATTACTAATTTTTCCATTTGTACAGAAGTTTGCATTCTAGAAGATACTTGTATACTCATTACCCTTATGAATAAATTGTAGGTGAATTTTGCAGTTCAGGATATTGAGTCTCCAAATGACTTCAAATGTCACAGAGTAAGTGCGTGGCAAAGGCTGGATTCAAATACAGAGCTTCTGAAGCCAAGCCCACACTCATTCTCCTAGTCCACAGTTCTCTCTTTAAAGTCAAGTAAGACTCTAAACCAACAGTTCCAGTTTCTGGAACTTAGACTGTGAAAACACTTATCCAACAGTGCAAGAATATATGTAAAAGAGAGTTCTGTCAAGCACTCTTAGTGATACAAAAAACAAACAATCATGAAATGATCTAAATGCCTATCAGGAGGGAAGTGGTTCAGTAAAATACAGTACAAACTTAGCATGGTATCTTGTGTTAGGAAGTGGGTTCATAGGCACTGACATAGAATGGTGCTTGTGTAATATTTTTAAAGTGAAAAGAGCAAGTTGAAAAGGGTAACTATAGCACAAAATCATTATTTTTAAAATCCTGGATACGTACATGTTTTCATTCTTTCATTCAGTAAATATTTACTGAACACTTACTATGTAGCAAGCACTGCTTTAGAAACTGGGGACTCAGTGCTGAATAAGATCATGAGTGACGGACTCTGGTGAGAGAGAAACTGAACAAGGAAGTAAGTAAACACTCGCAGATTATTGCTAGGAGCCTTGAAGAAAACCTAAGTAGTATTTAGGGTAGGGGTGAGACAGCTATTTGTGGTTGTGTAGGAGGAGATATTTGAGAAGGAACACCACATGAAGATGCTAGGGAAGAGTGTCCCAGACAAAGGGGACAGAAAATTGAAGGTCCCTGCGTGGAAGGAGCTCCACGTAGCCTAGAAAGGCTAGTGAGCCTGGAGCTCAGGGACTGAAAGGAAGGGGTTTGAAAGTGGGGCAGATCTGGTAGGACCAAAGGGGTTGGATTTGATTCCAAACGTAATGGAAAGTTAGTCCTTTAAACCTCGTTCTTCATTTTGCATTTTAAACAATTCCTCTGACTGCTGTTGGAAGCATGAAGATCAGTCAAAAAGAGAATGCAGTAATCTGGGTGAGAGTAGACAGTGGCTTACGCTAGGGCAGTGCTAACAGACACGGTGAGAAACAGCACAATTTGGGATATATTTTGAAAAGAGAGTAAACAGGCTTTACTGATGCATTGGATGTGGGATGTGGGGGAAAGAGAAACCAAGGCTGACTCTCAGATTTTAGCCTGAGCAATGAGATGAATGTTGGGGCCTTTAGTGATAGGAAAGCACTGGGGCCTCAAGGAATGGGTTTGAGCAGGAGGGGTGGACAAGAGTCAAGAGGCCTGCTTTGGACTTGGTAAATTTGAGCTGCTTATTTGGAATACAAGTAAAAATATGGGAGGTGGTTGTATATCCACATGTATGCGTTACCAGCTGGGAGTTGACTAGAATGGCAGAGAGGTGAAGCAGAATTTATACTTTTTCTTCACAAGCTTCTGGATCTTCTAAAGAAATTTTTTTTTACAGTAAGCTTCTGTTTCATTGATAATTTTTTTGTGTATGAGGAAGATTGGCCCTGAGCTAACATCTGTACCAATCTTCCTCTATTTTATGTGGGATGCCGCCACAGCATGGCTTGATGAGCGGTGCTAGGTCCGCACCCCAGTTCTGACCCTGTAAACCCCTGGCTGCCGAAGCAGAGCATGTGCACTTAACCACTACACCACCAGGCCAGCCCCTCTTTGATAATTTTTAAAATTCAAAAGAGAAAAATGTATGTAAGTGGAAATATATGCATTTGTGTAAAATAGAGAAAGGTCTGGAAAGAGAAACACCAAACTGTGAACAATGATAACCCATAAGCAGTTTAACTTTTACACTTATGTATTTATTGGCTTCTTTTTAAAAATTAAATAAAGAGCCTTTCTAGTTTCAATAAAGAAGTCAATGCAAGTAAGGGCAGCTTGTGGTCTCTATACCACCTCTGCTTCCAGCAGAAACCCCAGGCATCTGTCTCCGTCCTGTACCCTGAGGCCTCAGTGCCTCTCCTTTCTTGTCCATTTCTTATCCACTTCTGCTCTCCTCTGCCTGGGATTAATAGCTACACTGTTTGTGAGAAAGACTCATTCTTCTGTTTAATATTAGTGGTTAATAAAGAAAATCCATCTTTCTCTTTGAAAATAAAGACCACATCCACAAATTTGAAATCTTAACAAATTCAGTTTGTGGAACCATAGAGCTGAAGGGACCTGGAGATTGTGTAGCCCAACTCTCTCATTTTACAGGTGAGAAAATCAAGGTTCTGCAAGAACAAATGATTTTGTCTTCATCGCAGGTGGGTTATAAGGGCAATAGCACAGTCTGATGAAGCATGCTGCCACTTTGCAATCAGTCAGACCCCCGTGGTCCCTTATCATCATCAAGGTACCATGGTAGTTGAATTCTTCAACAGGATTGAAATATGGGGGCTGGTGTGGGGAATGTCCTACCTAAGCTCTGGGGAGGATGGATCAAATCTCCCCAACACATAGCAGAGGGCGTGGGTCACACATGCTGAGCCCCAGCCAGGCTCTTGCTCCATCATACAGTCACAGATTCTCTCTGTGGGTCAGTTCGGGTCTTCCAAGGAGCAGATGCCAAGATAGGATTAGGTGTGCAGAGAGTTAATGCAGGAAACACCTGCAGAGGCTAGAGGGGTGGAGTGGGTGTTCTTGATCCCCTCATGGCTTGTACTATACACCTTGCTTGGGAGAGGTAGGAGTGTTTCTGCTCCTCATGTGGCTTCCACTAAGACCATAGGAGGAGTGGCTTCATTATTACTGGTGGTGAAAGTCCTGACTCTCCAGGAGGCCTCCTCTGAGCCTCTGACACCAGCCCAGTGGAGAGAAGGAGAGACACTTCATTAGTGCAGGATGGGGATGTAAGTCCAAGATCACTATGTGGCCTCCACTGACACTACATGTCTGGTAGTGGAGGGGGAGAAGGTAAGTTCTAGCTCCCCAGTAAACCTTCATTGACACCACTCTGGCAGGGGGCTTGGGTCACCTTGCTACAGCCTGGTGAGGGTGGAAGTGTAGGCTCCCTCAGCTGGTGAGGGTGGGGATGGGGATTTTTTTCCTGGTATTTGGCTGAAGTTGAGTGTTTGGTGTCTAAAATTTTCTCATTTGCTAGACTGCACTTTTCTTGATTCTTTGGATAGAGAAAGCAGGCTTTCGTTGCTGGCTTTTTTTGGTTGCCGTTTCTGAGTTGCTGGCTTCTTCAGCACCAAGTCTGGGATATATGAGGCAAAAGGAAACTCAAGGAACTCAGCACTGTGTCATTCCTTGTGTTCCAAGGCCCCTAGCCTGTATTCCTTCTCTCCACCTTCAGAGTCTTCTTTTGTTTGTATTATATACAATGCCCAGGGTTTTTAGTTGTATTTAGCAGGACAAATAGGGAAAAGTACACCTACTCTAGCCTCCTGGAAGTCCTTTTGTAACATTTCACAAAGGTAAATTGTGAGAATAAAATCTAATGTCAGCTCAGTCCTTTGTTTCCTCAAGAAGCCCCCCAGGCCCTGAAGGAGTCACCACACCAGAAGAAGTGAGGAGGGGGAGCCCGGTGAGGCTCCTGTCACAGGCTGGCTCCTCCTGGAAGCAGACTCTCAGATGGAGCTAGCATGGAGGAAGTTCAGTAAGGAGCGCTTGTGGGATCAACACCCCGGAAGAGAAGGGAAGGGGTGGAAGCATGATTGTGGATAGGGAGATGTCAAGTGTCCATGGAAGCCTCAGCTGACCCTACAGGGCATTCTGAAGGTGGCATGAGCTTTCAGAGCCGTCCTGAGCTGGTAAGAGAGGGTCAAACCTTTTATACTCCCACATCATCAGTCACAGGATGTGGGTCATCCTGAAGAGGGATGTGAACTTGGCAAGGCAGTTTTCTTCACCAAGGTCATCCCCAGAGGGGGCTGACAGCTGAGGGTGGTCTGCCAGTAGTTCTTCCAGCATCTGGAGAATAAGTTTGTCATCCTGAAGGGTGCTCTGTGTGACACATCACAGCTTTTGCCACACATGCCTTTCTGCAATGGACTAGTGACAGAGAGCTCTGATTGCTATCCTTAAGTTGTGGCCAGACCTGGGGGTTCTCAGTTCCCTACTGATTTTCTATGTTCTTGATTACTGTTTTCAAGGAAGGGATAAGCCTTGGATGTGGGCAGTTTTCTCTGGCTACATAAGACTAGATTGTAGCAAAGGGTGCAGTGTTCTAACCCGGTCCTACCCTATC